GCAGCCTATTAGGCCCAGCATGGCAGCCTATTAGGCCCAGCATGGCAGCCTATTAGGCCCAGCATGGCAGCATATTTGGCCCAGCATGGCAGCCTATTAGGCCCAGCATGGCAGCCTATTAGGCCCAGCATGGCAGCCTATTAGGCCCAGCATGGCAGCCTATTAGGCCCAGCATGGCAGCCTATTAGGCCCAGCATGGCAGCCTATTTGGCCCAGCATGGCAGCCTATTAGGCCCAGCATGGCAGCCTATTAGGCCCAGCATGGCAGCCTATTTGGCCCAGCATGGGAGCATATCAGGCCCAGCATGGCCTAACGCGCTGTAAGCTATGTACACCAGTATGATTGGCTAGGATGGTGGTGAGGATGGTGTCCACGAGTGTGTGAGGATGGTGGTGCCCCGTCTTGCTGCAATAGGTAGTGTGAGGATGTAAGGGGAGGGAGGGAATTATCAGGGGGAAAGCACCAAGCCATATTACGACAATATAGCACTGGGAAGGGGTTCGGATAAGGATTTGGGATGGGACGGGGGGAAGGAATGGTGCCCAACCACTTGGACGGTCGGGGTTTGAACACTGACCTGCATGAAGCGAGACCGTCGCTTCATGTACCGTGTACCTTGAATATCTCTCTTTTGTTCATGTATTTCTCCCTGGCTCATACCGTCCCAGCCTATAAGGGAAGGCTGGGACGGTATTTAGATAATAATGTGTCATAACTGCCCTCACATCTCTCTATTGAGGGATGAGACAGAGAAACTGGGTCAAGTGGAGGAGTAGGTTTGTATATTAAAGAGGATCTTTTATGCACAGAGCTACCAAACCAAACCAATGGTACTTGGAATTAAGGTAGAAAAAATCAACCTAATTACTATTATAATATATAAACCGCCAGATGCAACGGTTAAGGAATTCACAGAGTAGATGCACAAAATAGAGAACATCCTTGATAACCTAGCAAACCCAGCTCCAAATATTACCTTTCTTGGAGATATCAATTTACCGAGTCTAAGATGGAGAATGGCAAACACAAATATCATTGCAGGGGATGACCCGGGAAATAACCAACCACAGGTCAGAGAACTTTTGAGATTCTGTGACAAATTCTCGCTTAATCAACAGATTACAGAACCAACTAGGAACGAAAACACACTAGACTTGTTATTCACAAACAATGATGAACTAATCAGAGACATCACAATCTCAGACACTACATACTCAGACCATAAGCTCATTGAAGTGCGAACTAACGATAGTAACGTGGGCCTAACTCAGCTGTCAGGGGGGCCCCTGACAGCTGAGTGGACAGTGCTCGGGTTTCGTAATCCTGAAGTTGCGGGGTCGATTCCTGGTGGAGGTGGAAACAAATGGGCAGAGTTTCTTTCACCCTGATGCTCCTCTTTACCTAACAGTACATAGGAACCTGGGAGTTAGACAGCTACAACGGGCTGCTTCCTGGGGATATGTAACAAAAAGGAGGCCTGGTCGAGGACCGGGCCGCGGGGACTCTAAACCCCGAAATCATCTCAAGATAACGGTAGTAGGTCCAAGAGAACTAACAAGTGAGAAGGGGTATTCAATCAATTCAATTTCAACAATAAGAGGATCGACTGGGAAAAAATAATTTTAGACCTTGCAAACATTCAATGGGAGACGGTCTTAAGCGACAAAACTCCCACACAGGGAATAGCTCAACTGACAGCTGAAGCTTACAAGGTCTGCTTGAAGCACGTGCCTGTGAGGAGGGGCAGAAAGAGGACCACTCTTGAAAGAGAACGCAGACGACTGTACAGGAGAAGGAAAAAATAACGGAAATGCTTAAGCAGACACGACTATTACAAGAAAGGAAAATAAATCTAAACAGGGAGATCGATGAAATAGAGCAGACGTTGAAGCGATCATACGAGTCTGAGGAAATGGAATTGGAACAGAAAACTATACAAGAGAAAGGAAAATACAAAATATTTTTTCACATATGCTAAATCAAAATCAAAAACCTCCGCCAGTATTGGACCTTTAATTACAAGTGAAGGTACGTACACAGAGGACAACAAAGAGATTAGTGAAATTGTAAGAAGCCAGTATGAGGCTATGTTTAGCACACCAATAAACAACATGAAAGTTGAGGATCCAGACAGCATCTTTATGAATGACATTCAAGTTGCAGATAATATAACAGATATTAACACGAACTCTGAAAACTTTGGAAGAGAAATTGACAATATGCCCATGCACTCAGCTCCTGGCCCTAACCCGTGGAATTCAATATTCATAAAGAAATGTAAAGTACCAGTAGCGAGAGCACTCAGCGTAATATGGAGAAAGATCCTGGATACAGGGGAGATACCAGCAGCACTTTAATCTCCAGATATAGCTCATCTGCACAAGGGGGGCAGTAAAGCTTTGGCAACAAATTATACACCAGTTGCACTAACATCACACACTAATAGTTTTTGAAAGAGTGATTAGGAATCAAATTTCTAGTTTTATGAAAAATAATGAGCTACACAACCCAGGACAACATGGATTTAGAGCGGGAAGATCCTGGCAAGCGAAGTTAAAAGTTCTGTACCTCAGGGTGCAGTTTTTGCACCACATATTTTCCTTATTCTCATTTCAGATATAGACAAAAATACAATTAACAGCTTTGTATCATCCTTCGCAGATGACACAAAAATCAGCATGAAAATGACTCCTGCTGAAGACTTTGGAAACACTACAAGCAGATATTAATAAAGTATTCGACTGGGCAGCAGAAAATAACATGATGTTTATCAGCGATAAATTCCAGGTACTCAGGTACGGTGAAAAATGAGAACCTTAAACATAGTACAGGGTACAAAAAACAATCAAATCTGCCCATAGTAGGAAAACAATATGTAAAGGATTTAGGAATAATGATGTCTGACGACCTAACGTTTAGGGAGCATAACCAAGCAAATATTGCGTCAGCCAGAAAAATGATCGGATGGATTACGAGAACTTTCACATCCAGGGATCCCATCACAATGGTTGTACTCTTCAAATCACTTGTGTTGTCCCGTCTTGAGTACTGCTCAGTACTCACTTCCCCCTTCAGAGCAGGAGAGATTGCTGAAATAGAGGGAATACAGAGAACATATACGGCACGCATAGACGAGATAAAGCACCTAAATTATTGGGATCGTCTCAAAGCTCTCCAAATGTACTCACTAGAAAGAAGACGAGAGAGATACCAAATAATATACACATGGAAAATACTGGAGGGTCAGGTCCCAAATCTACACAGTAAAATAACAACATACTGGAGTGAACGATATGGAAGAAAATGCAGAATAGAACCAGTGAAGAGCAGAGGTGCCATAGGCACAATCAGAGAACACTGTATAAACATCAGAGGTCCGCGGTTGTTTAACATCCTCCCAGCGAGTATAAGAAATATTGCCGGAACAATCGTAGACATCAAGATAAACTAGATTGTTTTCTTCAAGGAGTGCCGGACCAACCGGGCTGTGGTGGGTATGTGGGCCTGCGGGCCGCTCCAAGCCTGGTGGACCAAACTCTCTCAAGTCAAGCCAGGCCTCGGGACCGGGCTTGGGGAGTAGAAGAACTCCCAGAACCCCATCAACCAGGTAATATACCCGGTATTTAATCGCTTGCCATGTTGACATAATTGATGTCGAGTGCTCGCAGTGTTGTTGATGGCGTCGATCACCGTCTACATGTTGATGATTTTGATGACGAGGAGGCCGGAGGGGGAGGGGGGGGGGTGACCGCGGCTCTGTTGCAGGACGAGGACTGGAGGGGGAGGTCCTTGGGGGTGTAATTGCTAGTCTTTCATCATTCATCGTTGCACATTATATGTCTCGCCGCGGAGTGTGTGAAGGTTTGTAAGACGAGTGGTACTTCCATGTGGCGGGGGGAGGAGGGATGGAGGCAGAGGGAAGGGGAGGAGAATGATGGATTGAGGGAAGGGGAGGAGTGTTTGGAGGGGAGTGAAGGTGAGATATGTGGGTTGTGAAGTAGGAAGAAGGAAGCAGGAAGAGAAGGATGGTAATGGAGGGAGGAAGGAAGAAAGGAATGATCGATCTCAGGAGAGAGGGAGATGGGGGGGAGTGTAGGGGGGGAAAGGGGGGGAGTGGGGAGGGGGATATATTTCTATACGCACTATAGAAATAACTGAAGCCAGCGCCCCGCCCCCCCCCCCCCCACACACACACACACACACACACACACACACACACACACACACACACACACACACACACACACACACACACACACACAGCGTGCTTGGCTCTGATAAAAACACACGCACACACAACCTCGAATACAGAGCAAAGGAACGAAAATTAAAATAATTGTGTGTTAGGGCATTTCAGTTGTGATCGTTTCTGTTGGATGTGTTTCGTCACAAGCTATTCGTCAAAGCATTTGTGTACGAAGCCTGTACATCTTTACACACAGACATCACAATAGCGTGATGCATCTCTGACGTAGGTTCGAACCCTCATCACAGCCCTTGTGGATTTGGTCCCCTGTACATCTTTTCTCAATCATGGCGGCTTCGCCTATATTTACCACACAGTTTACGACCTTGGTCGTAAACTGACCCTGCGAGGTCGGTCCCTAGACCGCGATGGGCCAGTCGGTCCCTAAACCGACTGCGAGGTAGGTTTATGGACCCTCGTAGCGCTTCGGAGCTCTTAACTGTTTAATAAAGACAACCATAGGCCAAATCCACAAGGGCCGTGACGAGGATTCGAACCAGCGTCAGAGAGCATCCCAGACGCTGCCTTAATCGACTGAGCTACGACATGGTCAAAAGGAGTTGAAACCGAAGTTCTACTGAACTTACTGGATCCTGCAGCCTCTCCGAGACACAAACCAGGGTTTTACACAACTCCTCCCATGCACTCGAGCTATGTCAATAGGCCGTTCTCCCTCTTCGCCCTTACTTCAACCCTTGGTCGCCATGTTTGAAGTACGGTGGGGGGGGGGGACATGACCCGGGCCCCGGTCGCATGTTGTCGTGTCTAACCTCTCCATATTACCAAGCTTTCTACGTCGTCAGCTTTCTACGTCGTCAGCTTTCTACGTCGTCAGCTTTCTACGTCGTCAGCTTTCTACGTCGTCAGCTTTCTACGCCACCAGCTTTCTACGTCACCAGCTTTCTACGCCACCAGCTTTCTACGCCACCAGCTTTCTACGCCACCAGCTCTCTACGTCACCAGCTCTCTACGTCACCAGCTTTCTACGCCACCAGCTTTCTACGCCACCAGCTTTCTACGCCACCAGCTTTCTACGCCACCAGCTCTCTACGTCACCAGCTCTCTACGCCACCAGCTTTCTACGCCACCAGCTTTCTACGTCACCAGCTCTCTACGCCACCAGCTTTCTACGTCACCAGCTCTCTACGCCACCAGCTTTCTACGCCACCAGCTCTCTACGTCACCAGCTCTCTACGCCACCAGCTTTCTACGCCACCAGCTTTCTACGTCACCAGCTCTCTACGCCACCAGCTTTCTACGCCACCAGCTTTCTACGCCACCAGCTCTCTACGTCACCAGCTCTCTACGCCACCAGCTTTCTACGCCACCAGCTCTCTACGTCACCAGCTCTCTACGCCACCAGCTTTCTACGCCACCAGCTTTCTACGCCACCAGCTTTCTACGCCACCAGCTCTCTACGTCACCAGCTCTCTACGCCACCAGCTTTCTACGCCACCAGCTTTCTACGTCACCAGCTCTCTACGCCACCAGCTTTCTACGCCACCAGCTTTCTACGCCACCAGCTCTCTACGTCACCAGCTCTCTACGCCACCAGCTTTCTACGCCACCAGCTCTCTACGTCACCAGCTCTCTACGCCACCAGCTTTCTACGTCACCAGCTCTCTACGTCACCAGCTCTCTACGCCACCAGCTTTCTACGCCACCAGCTCTCTACGTCACCAGCTCTCTACGCCACCAGCTTTCTACGTCACCAGCTCTCTACGTCACCAGCTTTCTACGCCACCAGCTTTCTACGCCACCAGCTTTCTACGCCACCAGCTTTCTACGCCACCAGCTCTCTACGTCACCAGCTCTCTACGCCACCAGCTTTCTACGCCACCAGCTTTCTACGTCACCAGCTCTCTACGCCACCAGCTTTCTACGCCACCAGCTTTCTACGCCACCAGCTTTCTACGCCACCAGCTCTCTACGTCACCAGCTCTCTACGCCACCAGCTTTCTACGCCACCAGCTCTCTACGTCACCAGCTCTCTACGCCACCAGCTTTCTACGCCACCAGCTCTCTACGTCACCAGCTCTCTACGCCACCAGCTTTCTACGTCACCAGCTCTCTACGTCACCAGCTTTCTACGTCACCAGCTCTCTACGTCACCAGCTTTCTACGCCACCAGCTTTCTACGCCACCAGCTTTCTACGCCACCAGCTCTCTACGTCACCAGCTCTCTACGTCACCAGCTTTCTACGTCACCAGCTCTCTACGTCACCAGCTCTCTACGCCACCAGCTTTCTACGCCACCAGCTCTCTACGTCACCAGCTCTCTACGCCACCAGCTTTCTACGGCACCAGCTCTCTACGTCACCAGCTTTCTACGCCACCAGCTTTCTACGCCACCAGCTTTCTACGTCACCAGCTCTCTACGTCACCAGCTTTCTACGCCACCAGCTTTCTACGCCACCAGCTTTCTACGTCACCAGCTCTCTACGTCACCAGCTCTCTACGCCACCAGCTTTCTACGTCACCAGCTCTCTACGTCACCAGCTCTCTACGCCACCAGCTTTCTACGCCACCAGCTCTCTACGTCACCAGCTCTCTACGCCACCAGCTTTCTACGTCACCAGCTCTCTACGTCACCAGCTTTCTACGCCACCAGCTTTCTACGCCACCAGCTTTCTACGCCACCAGCTTTCTACGCCACCAGCTCTCTACGTTACCAGCTCTCTACGCCACCAGCTTTCTACGCCACCAGCTTTCTACGTCACCAGCTCTCTACGCCACCAGCTTTCTACGCCACCAGCTTTCTACGCCACCAGCTTTCTACGCCACCAGCTCTCTACGTCACCAGCTCTCTACGCCACCAGCTTTCTACGCCACCAGCTCTCTACGTCACCAGCTCTCTACGCCACCAGCTTTCTACGCCACCAGCTCTCTACGTCACCAGCTCTCTACGCCACCAGCTTTCTACGTCACCAGCTCTCTACGTCACCAGCTTTCTACGTCACCAGCTCTCTACGTCACCAGCTTTCTACGCCACCAGCTTTCTACGCCACCAGCTTTCTACGCCACCAGCTCTCTACGTCACCAGCTCTCTACGTCACCAGCTTTCTACGTCACCAGCTCTCTACGTCACCAGCTCTCTACGCCACCAGCTTTCTACGCCACCAGCTCTCTACGTCACCAGCTCTCTACGCCACCAGCTTTCTACGTCACCAGCTCTCTACGTCACCAGCTTTCTACGCCACCAGCTTTCTACGCCACCAGCTTTCTACGTCACCAGCTCTCTACGTCACCAGCTTTCTACGCCACCAGCTTTCTACGCCACCAGCTTTCTACGTCACCAGCTCTCTACGTCACCAGCTCTCTACGCCACCAGCTTTCTACGTCACCAGCTCTCTACGTCACCAGCTCTCTACGCCACCAGCTTTCTACGCCACCAGCTTTCTACGTCACCAGCTCTCTACGTCACCAGCTCTCTACGTCACCAGCTTTCTACGCCACCAGCTTTCTACGTCACCAGCTCTCTACGTCACCAGCTCTCTACGCCACCAGCTTTCTACGTCACCAGCTCTCTATGTCACCAGCTTTTTCTATTTCTCTCTGAGTTCTCTTCATTCTGAATTTGTATACAAGAATATTTCAGAATTTCGAAGCGATTGAAACAACAAAAATACTGGAGATATTTTTTTTTTTTGTGCGCGCGGTGAGGATTACCTGGAAGGGCCGAGAGTCACCCTGGAAGGGCCGAGAGTCACCCTGGAAGGGCCGAGAGTCACGGGTGACGCTAAGCCCCGAAAACACCTCAGGGTAACCTCAGGGTAACCTCAGAGTAACCTCAGAGTAACCTCAGAGTAAGGTAGTATGCTGGATGGTTTCGTTGAAGTTCTTGGTGTATTATTGTTCTCAGGTTGTTTATGATCACTCTAAGAAGAAGCTCAACTCCTCCTCTGAAGGATGAATATTTGTTGGCCAACTCATCAGTTCTATCACTCATCCGGAGGCTAACATGAGATGGAATTCACGTGAAATTTACTGTTAACATCATTAATGATTTTGTTGTATTTGTGTCTAGCTTCAGACACGAGCATGTTAGAAATTGTCTTAGAGTTAAGCACAGTTTAGGCTAATAAAGAATTGCTCACAATTAATGTGTCAAGTTTGAAAACATCATCACATCTGAATGGAAGGAGTATGGCAAATACTTGGATACGAAGGTGGTTCCATATATTTTTATGCGGACTCCCCACTCCTCAGAGTAATCAGCCATCGCTCATCGTCAAGGGAACTACACTTGTAGTTGCACCAGTGGAATGATATAGGAACCATCAGTGTATATGGCTTGAGGGAGGAAACGCAGAGTATCATTCTGACTTGATTGATACTCAGAGGCATTGAGTGTTGCTTTAAGACGAAAGGAAGGAAGGAAGGTATTATACTTTGTATGGAGGTACTCTCCTGTGGTGGAGGAAAATACAGTTGTGTTCTAGGTAATAGTGAGTCTGAAACAGTAAGAATACAGTCGAAGTCGCAGTAATCCATTTGATCAATGTTGACTTTCAATAAAGGATAAGAGGGCTTTTGTGCAAGGGTTAGGATGAGCTTGCCTAAGCTTTTGGACACCAATTGAAGCAGTAATTGCAATAACATGATCAGTGACTTGGAATATTAAGCCTAAAGTATTTTTGTAAGACGGGAAAACCCCAACCCGTTCTCACACTAGGCTGGTTAAAGCAGCGGCCGTCCTCCCCAGACGCAGTCATCAATTTTAACATACGTGTATTAAAAATTGGTTTGTTCTCGTATATAAATTAATATTATTATACATAAAAATTAGCTGTATAGTTAGGCGTACGTTAGGTTAATTTAGGCTTTCAGATTTTGTTGACGATTATTTGTATTTGAAGAACGTAAGGGAATTATTTACCGAATTGTAGAATTGTGGTTCGAACACAGGACGTGAGCGAAGCAATTGTTCCGGAAGTGTTCGGACGTCATCAGTTAGAGTCGTGTGTAAACCGCTTTTCATTTACAAACAGGGAGTTAGGCGGTTGGATTAAAGAGCTTGTATGCGAGAACGGATTGCAAACCCGAGGATAATCCTCAAGGCTTCGTTCTCCAATTTGTCAAACCCTCGAAACATTGTTAGGCACTAAAGCATAGAGAAGTACATAGTCAAATAAGGATTAAATATATATATGCATTGTACAAGATTGTTAACAATTCTGACATGTACCCGAGTGACCTCGCCTATTTTAGCCTTATCTTGAGATGATTTCGGGACTTAGCGTCCCCGCGGCCCGGTCCTCGACCAGGCCTCCTTTTTGTTACACACCCACAGGAAGCAGCCCGTAGCAGCTGTCTAACTCCCAGGTACCTATTTACTGCTAGGTGAACAAGGGCATCATGGTTAAAGAAACTTTGCTCATTTGTTACCAAATCCGCAGGAGATCGAACCCAGAACCTTAGGACTACGAATCCCGAGCGCTGTCCACTCGGCCGTCAGGCCCTTTGAGAACCCTGAGCCTTTCATTATACTGACGACAGTCGGGTTATTCACAATCATACAGTGGAATACCATGACCAAGATATTTGAACCTGTTCACACAGTCAAGCTGAGATATAGTTCAAATCATATATGAACTATATAGTTCATATAGTTCCATTTTACGATCATTTCCATCATATAGTTCCATTTTACGATCATTTTCATCATATAGTTCCATTTTACGATCATTTCCATCATATGGTTCCATTTTACGATCATTTCCATCATATAGTTCCATTTTACGATTGGGTTTCTCCTCCTCCTCCTCCTGTGGGGACGTGTCTGTAGTATCTGTTGTTGATGAGACTGTGATGACTGAACCTAGGGTCTTGATATGTGTGTGATAGTGTGTTAAGAACCTTTTGAGTTAAGGTTAACATATCCAGTGGTGTGTTAAATTATAACATCAGCCTAACTAATGATGTGTTCATTGGGTGTGCTAGGTACGTAAGTTCATTGGGTGTGCCAGGTACGTAAGTTCATTGGGTGTGCCAGGTACGTAAGTTCATTGGGTGTGCCAGGTACGTAAGTTCATTGGGTGTGCTAGGTACGTAAGTTCATTGGGTGTGCCAGGTACGTAAGTTCATTGGGTGTGCCAGGTACGTAAGTTCATTGGGTGTGCCAGGTACGTAAGTTCATTGGGTGTGCTAGGTACGTAAGTTCATTGGGTGTGCTAGGTACACAAGTTCATTGGGTGTGCCAGGTACACAAGTTCATTGGGTGTGCCAGGTACGTAAGTTCATTGGGTGTGCTAGGTACGTAAGTTCATTGGGTGTGCTAGGTACGTAAGTTCATTGGGTGTGCTAGGTACGTAAGTTCATTGGGTGTGCTAGGTACGTAAGTTCATTGGGTGTGCTAGGTACGTAAGTTCATTGGGTGTGCTAGGTACGTAAGTTCATTGGGTGTGCTAGGTACGTAAGTTCATTGGGTGTGCTAGGTACGTAAGTTCATTGGGTGTGCTAGGTACGTAAGTTCATTGGGTGTGCTAGGTACGTAAGTTCATTGGGTGTGCCAGGTACGTAAGTTCATTGGTGTGCTAGGTACGTAAGTTCATTGGTGTGCTAGGTACGTAAGTTCATTGGTGTGCTAGGTACGTAAGTTCATTGGGTGTGCTAGGTACGTAAGTTCATTGGGTGTGCTAGGTACGTAAGTTCATTGGGTGTGCTAGGTACGTAAGTTCATTGGGTGTGCTAGGTACGTAAGTTCATTGGGTGTGCAAGGTACGTAAGTTCATTGGTGTGCTAGGTACGTAAGTTCATTGGTGTGCTAGGTACGTAAGTTCATTGGTGTGCTAGGTACGTAAGTTCATTGGTGTGCTAGGTACGTAAGTTCATTGCTGTGCTAGGTACGTAAGTTCATTGGTGTGCTAGGTACGTAAGTTCATTGGGTGTGCTAGGTACGTAAGTTCATTGGGTGTGCTAGGTACGTAAGTTCATTGGGAGTGCCAGGTACGTAAGTTCATTGCGTGTGCCAGGTACGTAAGTTCATTGGGTGTGCTAGGTACGTAAGTTCATTGGGTGTGCTAGGTACGTAAGTTCATTGGGTGTGCTAGGTACGTAAGTTCATTGGGTGTGCCAGGTACGTAAGTTCATTGGTGTGCTAGGTACGTAAGTTCATTGGTGTGCTAGGTACGTAAGTTCATTGGTGTGCTAGGTACGTAAGTTCATTGGTGTGCTAGGTACGTAAGTTCATTGGTGTGCTAGGTACGTAAGTTCATTGGGTGTGCTAGGTACGTAAGTTCATTGGGTGTGCTAGGTACGTAAGTTCATTGGGTGTGCTAGGTACGTAAGTTCATTGGGTGTGCTAGGTACGTAAGTTCATTGGGTGTGCTAGGTACGTAAGTTCATTGGGTGTGCTAGGTACGTAAGTTCATTGGGTGTGCCAGGTACGTAAGTTCATTGGTGTGCCAGGTACGTAAGTTCATTGGTGTGCTAGGTACGTAAGTTCATTGGTGTGCTAGGTACGTAAGTTCATTGGGTGTGCTAGGTACGTAAGTTCATTGGGTGTGCTAGGTACGTAAGTTCATTGGGTGTGCTAGGTACGTAAGTTCATTGGGTGTGCTAGGTACGTAAGTTCATTGGGTGTGCTAGGTACGTAAGTTCATTGGGTGTGCTAGGTACGTAAGTTCATTGGGTGTGCTAGGTACGTAAGTTCATTGGGTGTGCTAGGTACGTAAGTTCATTGGGTGTGCTAGGTACGTAAGTTCATTGGGTGTGCTAGGTACGTAAGTTCATTGGGTGTGCTAGGTACGTAAGTTCATTGGGTGTGCTAGGTACGTAAGTTCATTGGGTGTGCTAGGTACGTAAGTTCATTGGTGTGCTAGGTACGTAAGTTCATTGGGAGTGCCAGGTACGTAAGTTCATTGCGTGTGCCAGGTACGTAAGTTCATTGGGTGTGCTAGGTACGTAAGTTCATTGGGTGTGCAAGGTACGTAAGTTCATTGGGTGTGCAAGGTACGTAAGTTCATTGCGTGTGCCAGGTACGTAAGTTCATTGCGTGTGCCAGGTACGTAAGTTCATTGGGTGTGCCAGGTACGTAAGTTCATTGGGTGTGCCAGGTACGTAAGTTCATTGGGTGTGCCAGGTACGTAAGTTCATTGGGTGTGCCAGGTACGTAAGTTCATTGGGTGTGCCAGGTACACAAGTTCATTGGGTGTGCCAGGTACACAAGTTCATTGGGTGTGCCAGGTACGTAAGTTCATTGGGTGTGCCAGGTACACAAGTTCATTGGGTGTGCCAGGTACACAAGTTCATTGGGTGTGCCAGGTACACAAGTTCATTGGGTGTGCCAGGTACACAAGTTCATTGGGTGTGCCAGGTACACAAGTTCATTGGGTGTGCCAGGTACACAAGTTCATTGGGTGTGCCAGGTACACAAGTTCATTGGGTGTGCCAGGTACACAAGTTCATTGGGTGTGCCAGGTACACAAGTTCATTGGGTGTGCCAGGTACACAAGTTCATTGGGTGTGCTAGGCAGAGAGTATAGCAGCGCATTTATTAAAATGTTAAATAAGGCAGGGCCGAGGCCACCACCTTTTGGGACGCTTAGTTCCAAGTCTCCTGTGCTACTCAAACTCCCCCCCCCCCCTGGAACAATACAGATTACTTCCCATTA